ACTCTTGGTGTATTAACAGTTTACAGTTTATATATACTGGAAGCTTGCACTTATGTCTATAAGAATAAAAATAAGTTTGCAATAGATAACAATCATTGCTATAACACCCGTCATAGAAATCTCTTGCAGCCTGATTTTCATCGCACATCTCTGTACCAAAGACATTTTTATTGTTTTGGTTGTAAGCTCTATAATATTCAATTTCAACACCGTGTATCTTCGAAACGAAGCATTTTCTGACACAAGTTCATATAGACTTTTTTTCTTAAAATTGTCTCAGGAATACGTCACTTGAATATTTTAACGTACTTATGTTACACCCTGTATACATGTATACGTAAATTTGTGATTGTTAACATATCCTCGTTCAATGTACCGATGTAACTGAAATATTGACGTTTTTAATCATTTATGTAACCTTTGTGTGTATTGTGTATTATTATTATTTCGTTATCTTCCCACATAACCATACATTTTCAGTTTGAGGGTTCTTAAAAATCCTGAAAGAATTTCACTGGACTGTGTGGTGTACAGGCTAGCTGAATTATAGTCAGGTTAGGTCAAAAGTGAGTGGGTATATTCGAATCCCCACCGCAACCCAACGGGGCAGGCACACAGTATGTGCTCTGCTGTTTCATCATTTTCCAAACAGAGGCGAGCCACACTGTCTTCCGACAGTCCGAGTCTCTGCATATGATGATTCAAATGACAGTGACCTGTAAGAGGCCTGTTAGACATTATAGTTCATCCCTACTGCAGTCCAAGAACTGTTTGGTATCAAGCTTCGAAGGGTGAATAAACGCCTTGGAGTGAGCCGATCCTGGAAGATTCTGCCAGAAGTCCATAAATCTTCTTGCTATCCAGGTGTTCAATGTTTGTTTGACAAAGCCTAAAGCGATGCCAATGAAAGGTTCCGGTCCGATGAAGCTGCTTGCAGCACCCTCCTTTGCAAGGGAGTCAGCAACCTCATTGCCTTCCAGGCCGGTATGGCTAGGAATCCAGACCAGACACAATTTATTGAGTCTTTCTATTGAGGGGAGTCGTTTTTGGCAATTAGCTACCAATTTATACGTTGCTCGGTAGGAGCCAAGAGCTTCCAACGCCGCTTGAATGTCCGAAAATATTTTTATCGACCTGTGTATGAGGTTGGATTCTTCCAATCTCTCCGCACACAATTCAATAGCGTAAATTTCCGCTTGAAACACAGTCGCATAGCTTCCTGGGCAGGTCCTGGGTCTGCGACTGAAAATACTTACTTTCTATTATTTATGTAATTGTTTTCCGGTCTGATACACGATAAGTTGGCGCCTGTTAATAAAAGATTGTTATCGTCAGCATAACTTTTGATGTGAGCTTCATTTGTGTGAGAGTTATTGTTGTTCATGTCAATGATGAAAGTGATAGGACCGAGTATACTGCCCTGTGGAATGCCCAAAAATGAATCCACTATTTTTTTATTCTGATTGAGTTCAACTACTAGCTTTCTGTTCTATAGGTATGAAGAAAACCATTTATATGAGTTACCGCAGAGAAAAAAAAAATTCTTTCTTTCACAGATACGCCAACAATTATTTTTCTCTATATCTATTATAACGGTCTATAAAACTATAATACAACCTCACTTTGAATATTGTACAAATTTACTGTCATTACTAGATTCTAACAGTATTGCTGCATTACAAAAATTGCAAAATAGAGCAATGCAAATCATTCTCAAATGCAAGAAGTCCACTCCTATTGATACAATGTCATTTGTACTGAACTGGAATCCATTAAAAACCTGATTATATTATCTTTCAATGATTTTTATTTACAAAACGTTGAAAGGACAGTTACCTTCATATTTTAATCAATATATCACATTCAATTATCAAATTCACAATTACCAGACCCAGAGGAAGTTGAAAATTTCATGTGAATAGAAACAATTATAAAAAAACGATGAATTCTTTATTCCATAAAGGACTGATTCAATATAATAATCTACCCATTCATATCAAGGATAGTGCAACACTGAGTTCATTCAATTGAGTAAACTTTGAATGCCGTTGTGAGAAAACAGTATTTCTTACCATCCAAATCACAGTCAGCATACTCAGCATCAATGTCTTCGCATAGAAAATGTGGAATTCCTTGATCCCTATCCAAATGACTGTTCGGGACTTGGAGAGAGGTTGAAGGAGTAGTTAAGCCCCAATTTAGAGGCGGTTTGACTTCCACCTCCATCCAATCATTTTGGAAAATTTGTAAGTCTCCACTAGGTATGAAATTCTCTTTGTCATCTAGAAAAAAATCAGAACGAACTTCATTTTTGATAAATTTTGTGGTTCATAGTACTTTTTCATGAAGACTGTACGTTAGCTGCTGACATTAGGAATAATCAATCATTGATAGACAGATGAATTTTTTATAGATAGAACACACGTGTCATCATATATAGGGTCGTCCAACAGGGACTTTTAGGCCTCTTTTATGCACGTGCAGTTGTGCGGTTTGCAGTCGAACGGCACGACGTTTCAGTGTGGTGCCTTCGCTACATTTTTATGCAAGTTGCAACTGTTCAGGGGGATGGTAAATCTATTAGTACAGTTTTGTTAAACAAGAGAAATAGAATGGATCCGTGCGTGTTATATTATTTATTAATATATCGCAAAAAGCAAAGAAGACAAAGACGGTGGGCTGTCCATCCTATTAATAGAACACGTCTATCGGTGGGGCCTTCCGAAACTTGTACATAAAGTTAAGAGAGGATCGAAAAAAAATCTTCAACTATTTTTGAATGTCTATTCAATATTTCGACGAGCTTACTATAAAAATAAGAGAACCTATCAGACGTCAACCATCCATAGATTCTTTTTGATATTCCTATCTTTATAATCCCAAATAGCCGTCCGACATCTGATTTCCTTTATAAACTGTGTTGACGTCTGCCCCGAGGTAACTCATTTTGAAAACTATTCACTCGGAACTGGGGAGTGGCAACATCGCGAATGGCGCCAACAAAAACGTTGAGCGTCTGCCTAAAAACCTCCATCTGGGTACGTGTATTTAAAAATGTATAACCACAAAATGTGGTCGGGCGTCTGCGGTCCAAATCTATATTTTCGACGGCATGATTAGACGGACAATCGCACGTTTGCCACATCCGACCGCAAGTTTCTTGACCGAAACTGTAAAAGAAAGCACTTGCTCCTACATACATAATTTTTGAGCGTTTTATGCCGTTCGACTGCAAACCGCACAACTGCACGTGCATAAAAGAGGTCTTAAACTTTGACAATTGATAACGGTCATATTGTTGAAGCTACATCTGTCGAATTATTTCTCATTTAGTTAGTCTGTTTCGCCAAACCACCATGGACGGATATAGCATTCAACAACACGTGCAAATAATAAAATTGTTGTATTAAAATGGGTGTTCTGTTCGGTCAATTTTACGGTCGCCATAATCGTCCTACCTGGAGGACAATGAGGTGGATAAATTTGAGTCCACTGATTCAATAAACGATCTACCAACATCCGTACGTCCACGAAACGCAATATCTGCCGAAAACATCGCCGCTGTCTGTGAGAGTGCCCAGGAGAATCATAGGCAGTCGATTTTGCGTCACTCACAAGAACTCGATCTTTCGCACACCACAACTTGGGGAATTTTGCTTCGTGACTTGGGACTGCACGCGTACAAAATTCAACTACGTGACAACGGCGTGTGTTCGCTGTATGGGCTCTGGAATAGTTGGCATCTGACCCTAATTTTCATCGAAAAATCATCTTCAGCGATGAGGCCCATTTCTGAAAGAAGTCCCGCGATAGCACATGGTATTCGCGTACCTTACTTGTAGTGGATGAACGTGCCGATAACGTCTGTCCCGTGCCAATTAAATGGACATATAGTAAACTTTTTACTAATTTCCACTTTCGAAAACAGATATGACAGAGGGGAAGAATTCCAAAAATATCGAAAGATTGAGTTTTAATATGACATAGGTCATAGTATTGGTTGAACTAATGCCCCTCTGCCAAAATATAGTTAGCAGATGTGGAATTGGTCTTCACATTCAAAAAACTAATTCTATGTTCTTTTATTCTTTGGAAAAAGTTCTATCCGTTTGGCCAATATACAGGTTTGGTCAAGAACCACAAGTCAACTTATATACTCCTGATCTATCTGACATTGAAGTTTCGTCCTTATCGTTTCTAATTAATTTGCTTAAATTATTATTTATTCTGTAAGTCGCGTCCAAGTCTTCCTATTTCAAGAGTCCTGGGACTCTTATTATCGTTTTTTCAAATGGAAGAGACCTGGTATATAGCTCGTTTTTGTAATTTTTTATGACGAATTGAGTCAATCTACCTTGTAATCAATTTTGACAGAAAAAGTTTTACTTGAACTTTATAAATTTTTTTGGTGTACGAGAAAATTTCTCATATATTTATTCAAGTATGGTATGGTACATTATTCAGTTAATACAAATTTGGAATACTAGTTACCTACCTGATATATTTATTGTTGAAAAGATGTGTGATTTATCGAAAGACTACACTGGAATAGTTTTGATTTTGCTCAGTCATTCTGCTCTGATAATAATGCTATAATTTAATTTTTTCCATCTTTCTACATGTTACTGTCTTTATACATTTTTTGAAGTTTGTTTAGAATTATCGTGTACTTATAAGAGACCTGATTTTGTTTTAGCTTTACTGTTATTATATGATTGATAATATCTTTGAACATATTAGAGATTTTGTTTCTTTTATCATGATACACTTTAAACAATGTGGTATTTTCTATTCAATCAACTCATTAATTCGTCTTGTGAATTCCGAATCATCTTCTTTGAATGTATATTTCCTAGATTTCTTCTTTTTGCCGTTTTTTTTATTTTTCTTAAAACTTCAGTCCTATATCTGATGTGGAATACATTTTGATGATCTCAGTATACAAATAAATCGGAATTATCATATATTATTTCTGTATATTCACAGATGCACTCATTATTTCAAAAAAAGCTACCTTCATCTAATTATGAACTGATTTAATTCCTATTGAATTATTGAATACATGTACAACTAGTTTTACTGACTCTGAAATAATATGCTATGAATTCAATCAACACTACAACACTACAAAACCGCAACACGTGTTTCGCTGTACGAGATCTTCCTCAGGCGATTTCAAGAATTGCTTTTACCGGGTACCCTGCGAGTGCGGAGAATCATACATCGGTGAAACTAAGAGGTCATTGAAAGTTCACATTGCCGAGCATAAGAAACACACACAGCGAGGAGAAACCAGGCAAATCAGGAATAGCAGAGCATGTTTGGGCTCATCAACATAACATCAAGTGGGCTCGGGCTGAAATTATACACAAGGAGGAACACTGGTTTAAGAGAAAATTCAAAGAAGCCGCATATATGTTGTCAAACAACGCATTTAGCCAAGCTAGCGTAGAGATACGTAACATATAGAAACCTCTAATGAAGCGAAACACGACCAACTAGGGGGGTAGGTGAAAGCAGTCGAATGACCTATAAATAGTCAGATCTCGAAGAAATAAGTCCAGTTATCACCCAAAGACGATTGTGGATACTAACAATGGAAACGTCGTGAAGTAACTTGGTTTGGAATCTTTTGATTTTCAATTTTCAACGTACAAAATTCAACTACGTGACAACGGCGTGTGTTCGCTGTATGGGCTCTGGAATAGTTGGCATCTGACCCTAATTTTCATCGAAAAATCATCTTCAGCGATGAGGCCCATTTCTGAAAGAAGTCCCGCGATAGCACATGGTATTCGCGTACCTTACTTGTAGTGGATGAACGTGCCGATAACGTCTGTCCCGTGCCAATTAAATGGACATATAGTAAACTTTTTACTAATTTCCACTTTCGAAAACAGATATGACAGAGGGGAAGAATTCCAAAAATATCGAAAGATTGAGTTTTAATATGACATAGGTCATAGTATTGGTTGAACTAATGCCCCTCTGCCAAAATATAGTTAGCAGATGTGGAATTGGTCTTCACATTCAAAAAACTAATTCTATGTTCTTTTATTCTTTGGAAAAAGTTCTATCCGTTTGGCCAATATACAGGTTTGGTCAAGAACCACAAGTCAACTTATATACTCCTGATCTATCTGACATTGAAGTTTCGTCCTTATCGTTTCTAATTAATTTGCTTAAATTATTATTTATTCTGTAAGTCGCGTCCAAGTCTTCCTATTTCAAGAGTCCTGGGACTCTTATTATCGTTTTTTCAAATGGAAGAGACCTGGTATATAGCTCGTTTTTGTAATTTTTTATGACGAATTGAGTCAATCTACCTTGTAATCAATTTTGACAGAAAAAGTTTTACTTGAACTTTATAAATTTTTTTGGTGTACGAGAAAATTTCTCATATATTTATTCAAGTATGGTATGGTACATTATTCAGTTAATACAAATTTGGAATACTAGTTACCTACCTGATATATTTATTGTTGAAAAGATGTGTGATTTATCGAAAGACTACACTGGAATAGTTTTGATTTTGCTCAGTCATTCTGCTCTGATAATAATGCTATAATTTAATTTTTTCCATCTTTCTACATGTTACTGTCTTTATACATTTTTTGAAGTTTGTTTAGAATTATCGTGTACTTATAAGAGACCTGATTTTGTTTTAGCTTTACTGTTATTATATGATTGATAATATCTTTGAACATATTAGAGATTTTGTTTCTTTTATCATGATACACTTTAAACAATGTGGTATTTTCTATTCAATCAACTCATTAATTCGTCTTGTGAATTCCGAATCATCTTCTTTGAATGTATATTTCCTAGATTTCTTCTTTTTGCCGTTTTTTTTATTTTTCTTAAAACTTCAGTCCTATATCTGATGTGGAATACATTTTGATGATCTCAGTATACAAATAAATCGGAATTATCATATATTATTTCTGTATATTCACAGATGCACTCATTATTTCAAAAAAAGCTACCTTCATCTAATTATGAACTGATTTAATTCCTATTGAATTATTGAATACATGTACATACCTTTATCGTTTGATACGATGTAGAATAAATGGAAACCGTACACGAATTGTTTCTTAGGATCCCCGGATGCGTGGCGTATCAGCTGTTCTTTATAAAGGGTCTGCATTTTCTGAAATCAATTGGAAAACTACTGTTAAAAATTTCATCAGGAGAGAACCAAACATTTTCAATGGAGAAGGAAAAGCTATAACTATTGGTTTTTTATTTAAAATGAAAATTCGATCAACGGTCATTATTATTAGTCACAAGCTAATGTATCAACAAAATGTGGGAGTACATGTTTTCCTAACAGTGCCAAGCCGGGTCGGCTCGCAAGAGTATTCAATGGAATACTCATTTCTCAGAGAAAATAATCTTCAATCTTAGCAACCTTCGGAAAATTTCATTCAGAGAAGTTTAGGCTAGGTCAGAAGTGAGTGGGTCTATTCGACTCTCCACCGCAAACCGCAAGGGTTTATTGTGGCTCACACCTATCCACATTCCACTAAATAAACTCAGCTTCTTAACGAAGCCGATTAGTTTACATAGAGAGTGACCTTTCAGGTCAGATGTAAGAGTGCGGCTCTGCCAAACCCTGAAAACCTGATTCGGTCCGCAGCGGGGCAGGCACAAAGTATGTGCTCTGCTGTTCCGAAACTCATTGCCTTCCAGGTCAGTACGACCAGGAATCCAGACCAAAGACAATTTGTTAAACCTTCCTATTATTAAAAAGAATAAAATTCGTGCTGGTAGGTCGTGTGCCAATGAAACCGGAAGTACCAAACGTTTCGTTTCCTTCTGCGCAGACATCATCAGTGGTATGTGCGTTGACTGCGAGGACGTAGGTTAAATCTCGATGTCTCAGTCGATGCTTGAGCACCCAAAAACGAATCCTGATCATACTGAGAAAAAAATCTCAAATTGCTATTACCTGTATTCCTTTCTCCAAAGTAGTAACACCCTCCACGTGTGTCATCAACCAATTGACAGCGTCGGCGGTGACAAAGGTCGTGTTTGGCAAATTCGGCTGCAGATTTATGAAGAGCAATCCGTTTGTCGGATGCTTCATGGCGTCAATGAGTTCAAGCGATGTTACATTGGATTTTATCACTGTTATGGGAGCTGCAATACTGTAATGAAGGATATAAAATATTGCGTTGAAACTGTTTATCAAAAACCGAAAATTTGCTTTGAAATGTAAAAATTACGTATTATATATTAACACTATAACGATTGTTCATTTTTTTTTATAAAACACAGACTAACAGCCTACTAGGCAACATAATCTGTTTCATCTCGATGTTGCAACCTGTGTAGTCCACAAGATTAACACACACTTTACTTTGCGCTTTTGAGAAACTGCCTGCCAACTCTTTAGCCGAAGAAGCGGCTGGACTAAGAATTTTAGGACCCATAAGTAGAACTCATGTGAATGATATCTGATTTGTATTCCACAACGAATGCTTGAAATACAAACTGAGTAGAGAGAAGTATCTTCTGTATAATTCAGTATTCATATAGAAGTATTTGTTCTGAAAGAATTTCTTCTTTTGTGTAATTCAATGTTTATATGAAAGTAGCTGTTTCAGGAGAACTTTCTTTCAGTTTGTCTGAAAGTTACTTCTTTGCATGATCTGCACATGTATAGAGTTACTTATTTTCAAATTGATTACTTCCTTCCTTCCTTTGGAAGAGTCCCTCATCCCTTTTTTGTAAGAAGATGGAGTAATGGAAAGCCAAAAACTTTCTTTCCCAAAAATTTGTTAAAATTGTAATGAAAATGTGTTTTCTCGTTAGCCTGGTGTCATCTCTCCTATTCAGCAGTCTCCCGAAAACTTGTGCGAGCTTATAACGTTATTCAAAATAATTTGAAAGAATGTGCACAGAAGAAGTAGAGGGGAAGTTCTTGTTACTATTAATTTTTTTACAAAAATTTAATGAACACGAAATTCCAAATTTGCTTCTCCCCTTTTCCTCCACTTGTCCTAAGAGAATGCTGAACTATTAGCCCAACAATGGAATTTACTAACCCCTAAAACCAAAGTTACAATATTTAGGAACCATAACTAGGAGCTATCTTCGTTTTTTACTATGCAGGATATTGTTAATCCAAATGGTGTGATGGAAAAATTAGGATTTGCACATAATCCGGACAAATGGCGTTTATTTATAGATTCGTCTAAAACAAGTTTGAAAGCTATTCTCCTCCATAATGGTAACAAAAGACCCTCTATTTCTCTTGCTTATGCAGTTGCCATGAAGGAAACACACGAAAGTTTGTCACTTATTCTAAATGCAATAAGTTATAATACGTATAAGTGGCAAATATGTGGTGACCTAAAAGTCATAGGTCTATTACTAGGTCTTCAGGGCGGATTTACGAAGTTTTGCTGTTTTCTTTGCCTTTGGAATAGTAGGGCAACACAGAGCAATTATCAAGTGAAAGAATGGTCTCCGAGAGATAAATATATTCCAGGTCAAGCTACCGTGAAGAATATACCTCTTGTTAATCCCAAAAACGTTTTGTTACCTCTATTACACATTAAACTGGCCTAATGAAAAATTTTGTAAAAGCATTAGACAAAGGTAATGCGTTTAAATATCTTAAACACGTTTTTCCAAAATTAAGTGATGCAAAGCTAAGGAAGGTATATTTGTTGGACCACAAAATAGAACACTACTAAGTGATCAACAGTTTGATCAAAAAGTAAGTAATGAATTAGCTGCATGGAGTTCTTTCAAAAGAATTGTTTCGGAGTTTTTAGGGAACAAGAAATTATTGTTGGTTCCTTATGAGGGAAAACGATGAGACATATAAACAAAAGTCAACATTTCCAAAAAGGTTGTGCACAGAAGACTTCATTTTAATGTTTTTTCATGTGTATTGTAAATAAAGTCTATTACTCTCAAAATATATTGTTTTTTTTCTTGTTTTGATCTTATATTTTAATTCCCTATAATATATGTGAACATTTTTGTATAAAATAAAAATAACTATAGGTAACTCAAAATCTTTACGCGATGGAAAATTTTTGATGTGGAAGTCACTTTTTTTTTATTTGTTGGCTAGTGTTATTATTATAAAACTTACATTTCATCACACGATGTTTCAAGTCCTTCACGAATATCTACCGGCGCATCCTGGGTTCCTTGTGACATTTTGCTTCTATCCATAACTTTTGATCCAGACCTAGTTTTTCCAATGGTAATTGAAATGAAATAAAAAATTGAATATAATAACAGCATTAGATATTTCACTGGATTATACATGCAGACATAGTAATATTGTAAACGAAGGAAAACTCCTTGCTAGACTATTTATAAATTAATTGATGAGAATAATCTTGAAGATACTTAAAATATTGTTTTCAGATCTAAATTTGTTTAATTATATTTAACTCATTGTTGAAATCTAGAGGATTCATAGGAATCGAGAAAAGGCGAGAAAATAGATAATGAAAGACATACATTTTTTGCGTTAAAGGGTGATGAGAAGAAAAGGGAATGACTGAGTTAGTATGTGTGGGTTTTCTATAGATGGAAAACTATAGGTGTCCATTAGTTTTAATCATAAGTAAATCCAGAAAGGGAATTTAGCTATTAGATTCTATTTCCATAGTGAAAGAAATATTTGGATGGAGTGAGTTGAAAGAAAAGAGCAAATTATTAATTTCTTGTAGGTCGCCATCAAACAGAATGATTATATTGTCTACGCATCTATAGTAGAATATTATTTTATTATATAAAGGGAGTAGATGAATTTTCTTTTCTAAATCATTTTAGTTTTTGACTTCTTGTTGTTTTGTTATAAAAACTGTTTCATTAATTAAAGACTTGATATTAGAAGAGAAGTTTCGTTGTTTATTTCATTTTTTATTTGATTAGATACGTCAAAGTTTGTTTGCTTGAAAGTTTATTTGAAAAAATGATTGATAGATACGTCAAACAATGTTATAAATACATAAAAGTTTATTGAAAAAATCGTAAAAATAGGTGTTTATTTCATAATACCTATAATTCTTACTATTTTCTTCCTAATTCATTCAAATATTGTGATTATTTGCAAAACTGCCAATCTTGCGAGATCTCAAAATTAGCGAGATTGCATTCCCTAGTCAAAAGTTAATAGTATTTAAGAAACACTTCATTGTGAGATTTAAATATTTTCCATGACATAAAGAATGGAGTGAATATGCTGAATCACTAGTAGGTATCTTCAGCTGTCAGAAGGAAATGAACCGTTCAGAAGTTTTTTCACACCATACAAAAATAAAATATACAAACTTTACTATGTTGCGAAAGGATGTATCCATATTTCCTGGTCGAATTAGGGAAACACGTTTAAAAAAATTATTTTGGCAATGACACTATCAAATACGTAAAAAAGATTAGTAAATAAAAGAAAGTTACCTAAGCGAAGGTGCAACATACCGCTCGCTGGAGCGAGATGAGGTATTCTGAAAGCAAGCATCACTATAATAATTACAATAATTAGAAAACGAAAAAAAATGGGCGATAGGACGGGCCACACCGCCACACAAAATCGAAACAAACGATAAAAATGTTAATGACTACACATGCCCTCAATCCACCACTCCAAGCTGTCAAAATAATTGATATTCAAACCTTGGGCGTGGTCGATCCGACAATCGGTTGCTACCTAATCGCTCACGAAACGGCGAGCCAGATCCGATATTCTGAAAACGATATATATATCAGCTCGATGGTGGATATTAGGAGCATTTCGATGCTGAAAAAAATGTTGCGATGCAGGATTGATGTGAACCCCATTAGCTACCATGTAGTTGGAAAGGTTATTGGTGAAATACTATTGGGTTGTTTCAAAAGTTTCGTCCGCTCAAATGTAATTTATTTTTGCAGCTCCATATCTCAATGAAAATTTATTCTACTGTGTTGTGGTATATACTGATAGATAGAGAATGTTGTATTCTATACATTGATGCTGTTAATTTTCTTTCAAATTTCTTTTTTTTTTGTATATTCATCTTATTACTATACATGCCGTTTCTTTTATCATGTGGTAACATTGCTATATTCTAAACTGCAACAGATACAAAGACGATTAAATGGGAAAAAAGGACTCTCGCTCTTTTCGAATTATAGGGGGAAAACAAAAAATGAAAACATTTCATTGCAGATATTGATAAAGCAATAAATTCACAACCCAAGGGTATATCACATTTGATAATTTTATAGCGTCTCATTCGAAGTAACCACCATCATCAGTAACAACAATCAAACAGAAAAACAATTTATTTTATCATGAAATTTTGGGGAAAATGAAAGCAATACGGAAAATAAAAGCTACATGGCAATCTACATTAATTGTTCGAATTGAAGACCTCTTTGTTGAATGCACATAAGTTGTCGGTTCAGACAATTTCTGTGTCAATTTTCTAGCATAATAGGTGTAATGTTCATGCATGTTTTATTGTTTGTTTGAGATGGTCGGTATCTGTACTTGTTGTTGAAAAAACTTTATCCTTTATAAAGATAAAAAAATCTAAAGGAATAAAATCTGGGGATCGAGTTGGCCAGTTAATTGGTCCATTGTTTCCAATTCAGTTTCTTGGGAATATTGCATCTAAATGTTCCCTCACAGAAATCCCCATTTCGTGGGTAATTTCTCGTGAAGAACAATCTTGATTAGCATAATTTTTGTAACTGGCCAATCTTAATAAAAAAATGTTTTCATTGTGAAATGTTCATGTGGTAATATTTGCTTACCCATAACATTTATTTGATTCCTCACACTTTCAGTAACCACACATTTTCTTATTTTATTTCCGTCAAATGCACCATGGTCTCTCAAATTTATTTATAATCGTCTAAACATTTGGATGTTCAGAATACGACGATTTGGGTATAGGTCAACATACATATTCCTTGCCAAAAGAGGATTTCTATTTGATTTTGCACATCTGTCCTTTCATCATTTGAATACATCTTTGATATCTTTATAAACGTCTGACAGTTCTCAACAGATAACAACACATTAATTTTTCTTGCCATAGAAACCAAACAAAGCATACGCGTTTAAGATGGTAAATGAATTGAGATGCTATTTGATCATACCAAATTATACAACAATCGAATTTTGATCAAAAACTGATTTTTTTCGTTACTTCCAGGATTGAGAATTATAAAAATATCACGAATTATAATTGATTAGGAAGAAATAAGCCTTGAAAGAAGGATTATGGCAGTACAAAAATTTCCAAAACCGTTAGGGTACCTACCTGTCGAATTTATCGGGTTGTCTGAATTATACTTTGAAAAAATCGAAACAATTTACAAAAGAAGTAACGACAGGACCGTAATTTAAAATTGTTATCACTGATGATGGTAGTTATTTCAAATGAAACGCTATGAAAATATCGAATGTGATAGACCCTTGGATTGTAAATTTATTGCTTATTCAATATCTAATAAAAAAAACGGGTCCATATTTAAAAAAAAAAAGTTGATGGTGGCCATGTCGACACGAAAAGTTTTATCGAATATTTATTATTACATCGCCATAGTATACTTCGAAAACAATAACATTTTCCTTTTTCACTTTTGATATTCTCAGAAATAACAATTCCATTCGAAAAAAAAAAAAATAAAAACAGCATTTTTGGTTTTCCCCGTATAACTCGAGAAGAGCGAGAGTCCCCGTAAATTTTCTTCGACCATTGTATTGTTCCCGATGACAGTTACCTTTTTTCCCATTTAATCGTCTTTGTATCTGTTATGGTTTAGTTAGAATATAGCAATGTTACCACATGATAAAAGAAACTGCCTGTATTATACAGAACCTTCGCCAATCAGGACCAGACGAAAACGGCCTTCGTAGACTTCATCGAGTCACTTATATCGATTGAATAAAAATGGACGAAACTTTTGAAACAATCAATATGAACTTATTTTTAGAGAGTGTCAATAGATGTCAACAAAATTTTATTTTCTCGAAAACGTATTCAAAGTAAAAACTAGTAATAGACGTGGATCTTTATACTCAGATGAAAAAAATTAATATATTCTATATAATCAGTAATTTTTTTAATGATAATGAATGTTTATTTATTCTCAAGAAACTGCAATACAAGGAATGTATACAAGTAATATTCATATTAAAAATTGAAAGGGTATATTTATAGGAGAGACTAATTTTTGGGAAAGAAAGTTTTTGGCCTTCTACTTACTCCATCTTGATACAAAAAATGTGGGAATCTTCCAAAAAAAGGAAAGAAGCTATCGACTTTAAAAAATGAACTCTATTCAAAGATGTGTAGATCATGCAAAGAAGTAACTTTCAGACAGAAACTTGAAGAAAATGTCTTTTCGAAACAGATATTTTCATATAAACATTGAATTACACGAAAGAAAAAATACTTTCCTAACAAATACTTTTATATGAATGCTGAATTGTACGAAAAACACTTTGATCTATTCTGTTTGTATTCCAGACATTTGTAATGGAGTCGAGTCAGATATCATTCACAGGATTCCTACACAATATAATTAATGAAAAGATCGTCGTGAAGTAACTTGGTTTGATATCTTTTTACTTTTTATTTCATTTTAATTGTCCAATTTTTTAATTTTTGCTTATTTTTATTTTATTGTAATTTCATTTCATAATTTATTGCTTAATATAATTGTTATTGTTAGCTATTCATTTTAGTTTTTAATTTTATTTGTTCTATCAGGGATTTCAAATCATATATCATATCATATTAGACAATGGAAGGTCAAACTAGTAAAATTTATTATTTCAATTAAATAAATGAAGTATACTGAATGTACATGTGTTTAACTAAACAAATTTGATTGATTTTTTTATGTTTATTTTGCACCACGCTGAATGTAAAATGAAGGTTCTCATGGAAACTAATGGCATTAAGATTGAGCTAATGGAGAACTTTCCACTTTACATGGCATAATAGGGTTCACTACAGTTCTCCCACTGCAAATATACTAAGATATTCAGTTCAAACATTCATTTGATGATACATGTTTTGCATGATCGACTGTAAAATAAAATGACATTCAGGATTTCTTCAAGGTCAACAATAAATCACTAGTTATAAAATTCAACAGTTGTTTAAAATTTTCCACCAAGATCAGTGACTCATAGGAGATAACCCTGAAAGAAGTAAATTCTTTGGTAGTTATTTCCTATCCCTCAATGAACATTCAAAACGTAGATTGTGTTATATCGGTAAGTCAAAAGGCAAGTCAAGTGGAACCAATTTTTGTAAATAATTACCGTGTTAGGGACACATTTTCTAACTAAACAAAAATATTTCTCAAACTACTTACTCACTGTTATCAGGTACTCAAAAAAATCTCAGTTGTGACTTGTAACCAAAAACATGAAGAAATTACTACGATGAGGGATTATTTATATTTCAGGAACTGGCAACAGTAATGTTGATAGGTAGAATGTGGCAACATCATAATAAATTTTTCTCAACTTTCGACGTGGATTATATCAACAGTGTCGATGAACTCAGTTCTTTGTATGGCGATGAAACATCATCAAAAACCACAGTATATCGCTGGTATAGTGAATTCAATCGTGGTCGTAGTTTGGAGGCCAAATAATTCCGTGAAGGTCGTCCCAAATCGGTGGTTGTGCCACAAAACATCGATCCAGTGCATGAGCTGACATATTGTGAGATAGAGGCACCCTTGCATGGAAGTTCCACTTCAATACAATCGATTTTGCATGAACACTTAGTTGTATAAAAATTTGTTTGCGTTGGATATCCCATAATTTATCAATTGCTCAAAAAAAGGATCGCGTCAAGTGGTGTAAGGAGATGATTGGCCGCGGAATTGGCCGCGGTGGTAGTGCGCCCGACTCACGATCGGAAGGCCGTGGGTTCGATTCCCGCCTCGACCAGATATTTTTCTCGAGATAATTTATCTGGTTGAAGCTGGGATGATTCTGTAACCGTGTTAGGAATCACACGTTAAAAGGTAAAACCTCGTTAGTCCTTAGCTCGCACAAGTTTCTCAACTTCTGAGAGTTGTCGTTCGTATGGAGGCGACAGCTGATTAACGTAAAAACCAGATTTTAAACAGACAGATTAAAAAGTTCGACCGTGGTGCTTCAAAAGACGTGTAAAAAATCGTGACAGATGACGAATCATGGATAAATGCGTATGAGCCGAAAACAAAACAACAATCGACCGTGTGAGTATTCCAAGACGAGCTAAATCCAACAAAAGTTGTTCGTGGAAGAAGCACATCGAAGCAAATGGTCATGTGGCCACTGTTCCGCTTGAGCAACGTAGAACGGTCAATTCTGAGTGGTACACGACCATTTGTTTGCCGGAAGTCTTCGAAGAAATTCGTAAAACTAACCACCGAAAACGAATCACTCACCATCATGACAATGCGAGCTCTCACACATCTTGCCAAGAAGACTCAGGATGTGGAGTGTACTCCAGAGCACTAAGCCTAAGGATCAAGTGGGGAATGGGAAAAAATACCAGCGTGGTCCAAACAGAACTGGCTGGTATCTCAATCGCCACAAAAAAAATAACCAGAAAAGGAATTTCTGGCAAAAACATAACAATCTGCACTGA